TCCATAGTCTACCTACCCGGCATGAATCCAAATTGATTTTGAGAAATATTGGTATCACGCCGCAACCTATGCTCCAAAACTCGCTCCATAGTTTTAAAGTATGACACATTAACTTAATTCTTCTATAATTCGCATAATCTTGTGCATCACCTTTATTCTTAAAAATAGAAATTAACACACTCATTCTCCACTCATCTGGCATCTTTTTAGTCTTCAAAATAGTATTAAAAAGTTTAGTAAGCCATGAAATTCCTTCATCTCCTAAGCATTTCCACACCTCTATTGGAATATGATCAGGTCCAACAGCTTTTCCACCGTTCATTTTCTTTAAAGCCTCTCTAACTTCGGTTTTATTAATATGCTGATAAAAACAAAAATCTTTATTTTCATTTAGGGTGCTAAGGTCACTATAGTCAATCTTATTTTCACAATTTTCATTAAAATGTTTAGCAAAATATCTCATCCACCTTTGTTCATCTTCTAAGAAAATTATTTTTGATCTTCATCTTTAATACACCTCACTTGAACTAAATCCTTACTAATCCTATCTCTTTTGCTTGGCTAACTTATACATATATCTTTCTCTCTCCTTAGTATCTAATCTATTATATAAATCACTAAAAGCTAAGGTCTTTGCATCGCATATTACTTTTTTAGATTCCTTATGAGCCTCTTTATATCTTTCCCAATTATCAGAATTTTTAAAATTAAACCAATGTTTATAACAAATTTTCTTATTCTTAAACTTTTTTGCACATTTGGATTCCACCACCAACTATTTTTACTATTAGGAGCTTTTCCCTTTGATACTCCAAGCACATCTTTTGCAATATTCTTAATGTCACTAGCTACTTTTTTCCACATAACATTAACATCCTCATGCACAGATAAAACCTTAAGATCTAAAATCTTACTCTCAAAAATATTTTTGTTAATATTCTTTAAATGCCCCCATCTAGTCCTAGAATATCATTTTACTATATTTTTTATTATCTTCCCCTTTATCTTAAAGTCCAAAACTAATAATCGATGTTTGGTACTTAAATTTTCACTCGGAATAACTTTACAATCTAAACAATCTAATTTTCTTATAAGAGAATAGTCAATCTGGGTTGTACTATATCCCTTTTTATAAGTGATGAGATGCTCATTTCTTTTCTTAAATAAGGTATTAGCAATTGAAAAAATCATAAGCTAAACAAAAATCTGATATAATCTTGCCGCATTCATTTGTTGTTCCAAAACCATAGCCACCATGAATGTTTTTAAAATCATCTACCTCTCTACCAACATGTCCATTTAAATATCATCCAATACGAACTCTTTCTTCTAGATGTATCTTTTTTAATAATTCTTTTAAGTCATT